AAGCAATCTTATTTTAAAATTTTTAGTACCTGTTCAGCTGATGTTGTGACTACTTTGTTTTGTACTGTTCTTTTGAACCTGTTTATGTGTTGCATTATTCTTTCTCTTCTCCGTCGGTAACTGTTTCAAGATATTTCGCTATAGCTAACTGAAACAAGCTGGATCTCAAAGTTAATAAACTGCTACCCGATCAGCAGAAATAAAGTTGGCCATCGCCTTTTTATTCTTTTTCTTAGACGTTCTAGAACACCTCAAAGTTTGAGTTCTGTCAAAAAAAAAAACTTTGCGGCAAGCTGCTTGGTAATTACCAAGCAGCTTTTGCAAATCCGTATCCACTTCATTCATAACCCGATTTGCTTTACTTTTACAAATAAAAACGCTATTAACCAGATAAGCTTTTGCTGCGCTTGTCGTGCGAGGGATCGACACGTCTCACTTGCACCGATATTTCCGATAGGATTTTTTTCATCTGAACAGATAGTCGAGGAACTGCTCACATATCTTGTATGCTGGATGATCTGCTGGAACACTTGGTCTGTATAAGCCACGAACTAGCAAACATTACCGAGGCAGAAATGCCTCTTATGGTACGATATAACTTTATTACTTTTTCGGCACCCCTCTTACATACTTCGCCAAGCCCAGCGCATTTCTGCGCCTGCTCCATGCTTGACTTAGGTGGAAGAGGCAGACTTCGACAGATGAAATACAACGCTGCCATTCTGCAGCCCTTATAACGGCTGACTTAAAATCGAAAATATTATAATCTTTGGAGACTGCGTGTCGGAGTCCATTGAATGATTTGCGCCGCACTCTTGCAAAAAATTTTTCATAGATATTCTGCGCTTCATTGCGCATCGAAGCATAGAATAATGGTACATGAAGAGTGTACACTTGTACCAATCTCGACTTCCGTACTTAATGTTAATTTGATTGACTCCCGTGTATAGAGTTGGGCGTGATCGCTTAACTATGTGGGTGATATCTTATAAATACGATCACTTATAATCAGTGCATTCAGCCCTTGTTCACATGCAGTCTGTAATTCCACATTCTCTACCTCTCAATTATTTTAGAGTCCTTATCATTATTAGTTCACATACTGGTTTATGTTTTCACATTTAGTGATACAGGACTTTGATGGCTGGGTTTACAAAGACTGATAAAACAACCAACTTGAAGATTTCGTGCATTCGTAACTACCTTTCAGTGTTTCGGTTGATAAATTGATATTATGCGTCGCCTTTGATTCTTGAATGAGCGTGAAACCATTGTCAAGTGCTTGTTTTTCGGGTGTAGAATTCCAAGTCACGGCCAGGGTAAAGCGGGGGGTGCGGCACGCCGCAGGGGGGGGGGGAGTCGTTAGGGCGGGGGGGGGGTAGGTAGGGGGGTCGTATCGACCCAAGGTCAAAAGCACTTGTACAAGCTGTGTGACTAAATTGACTTGATGAAAGCGCTGTTGAAATCCTGCAAAATTCAAGTTCAACGACACAAACTTGCAGATACCGTATGCCTACCGTAACCTACCGTACCTCTAATCAAGCATAATTGTCGTAATCCGCGTGTCGAATAACCCCTATGCGCCTAGTTTCAGCGAACTCTGAGGTCTCCGAGCAGTAAACAACCTTGTATAAAGCAGTAATTTAAAACATGATTAACTTCATCTTAACAGTGAGTAAGCTACCTCTTCTTGCACTCAATACAAAGCACTACTCCTTCTTTGTCCACCTCAGGAATCCCGCTTCAGAAGACCTCCAAACTATTGAATTAGAAGCCAACCAAAATCTCGTTTTTCCCATTTTTCGCTTTTGATCGCTGTGCTTTCACCAAATATTACTCAGAGCCAAGAAGACGAGTCAGGCTCAAAACATCCCTATGGAATCTACGAGGTTTAGGCTATTGATTCATATGAATATTGTCCGCTAAAAATGTTTTTTTGATATAGTTAATGGCCTGCGGCACCCCCCCCCCCCCTCAAAACCTGCGGCAGCCGCAGGTTTTGAGGGGGGGGGGGTGCCGCAGGCCATTAACTATATCAAAAAAAAAAAAACACTTTTAGAGGACAATATTTATATGAATCAATAGCCTAGATCACCTAGTTTTCACAAAAGTGATTTGAGCCTGATTCGTCTTCTTAGCTCTGAGTAATATTTGGTGAAAGCACAGCGATCAAAAGCGAAAAATGGGAAAAACGAGATTTTGGTCGGCTTCTAATTCCACAGTTTGGAGGTCTTCTGAAGCGGGATTCCTGAGATGGACAAAGAAGGAGTAGTGCTTTGTCTTGAGTGCGAAAACGGATAGCTAATTCACCTTTGAAACAAAGTTAACCATGTTGGAATTTGACCATTTCACTTAGGTAGCCTAGTATCTTGAATCTTCAGAATTCGCTCAAACTTTGTCTACAGGGGTTAATTGACATGCTCATTATGGATATGTTGCCCATTATGTTTGACAGGGCCTCCAAGTAATGCTATCTTAAGGGTATAGTCCAGGGGGAGGGTCTTATTAAGACAGCAGTCAGGGGGGGGGGGTCGTAACCAGCGATCGTGTGCCACACCCCTTGCTTGACCCTGGTCACGGCATGAGTGGCGTGGGAAACCTTTGCTCCAAAGCAACAGAAGCCTGATTGAATTAAGTTGTGCACACTCCTATCCTGACCGTTCTTTCCGTCGGTTGGCCAGCCCTCTTTTGTAAAAGTGAGTCACCATCTTATCTTTCGAGTTAGCTTCATTCATAGCCGAGTGCACAGCGAACTCCCAACCTCTATCACAAGTAAAAACCAATTATGGAATGCTTTCCATGTTTTGGCATGCCTGAAACATAGGAATTTTGCTATACAGTTTGGGCGGGATAGCTTTAGTCACAAAGACATTGTTCTTGTTATCCACTTCATACATAATCCTGCTTTGTCATGACGGTACACACATGGTTCGCACATGGGTTTCCAAGATTTATTGTCAACTTCCCAAAATATCATACCGTCGAGTCATTTCTAACTTAATATGTGCATTGCACACCGCGCCCTTTAATTTACGGCAGAATTGGCCTCAGGGCGCGAGCTTCCAATCGGCCGTTTCCGCACTGTTTTCTGTGTATTTTTCTACAATCCGAGCACGGGTTAGTTCAAGCTTATTTCGATATGAGTTCTGCTCTAGCTATCAAGTTTTACTTCAATTGTATGCAGTCCTGCTTGCTTATGAACGATTTTTTTCGATCTAATGGTGAACATGACAGCAAAATTTACTTTTTGTAAATTTCTATCACAATTTTACCTTTTTTGATGCATCACATCTCAGCATTATTGATTTTTTTCCTTTATTTTCTTTAGTTGGAATCTATGACTACTTTCAGAAACGGAAACACTCAAAGGTGAGTTTTTGCTAGAGATTTCTTTTTCTTTTCTTTATTCTTCTCTTTGTATGTGTTTAGAGATGCTTATTTGATATATTCCACTTTCATTTTCACTTTAGCAATGTTTTATTGTTAATTATCCACAGTAGTTTTATTTACAGGAAGCTTTAGGAGCGTTTTTGGGTGAGTAACTCAAGCTTACGCATTCTAAGTGGTTTATTTTTGAGCTATCACGTTGCTCTATGGCGGTTTTACATCGCAAAACCTTTTTCTTAGAGTTTTTCGATGCTGATAACATTTCTCAGGAGTTTTTTTTGATAGTGATAAAGGGCTTTGCCTGATCATGGAGGTCGGCAAGTTTACGTACGCTGCCCGATTCAGCTCTCCGTTTTCTTTTTTCTATTAAATGATTTTGTGCAATCAAATGTAAGCTTCCTGATATCTGCGCCAGCATTGGAAACTACGGAACTTTACTGTTTTGACGCTTTGTGGCATTCAGCGTTAGCGATGGTTGCAAAGTTACCGACCTTCACTCTAGCAAAGCCCTGTACACTGTCCCGTTTGTTGAAGCCGCATGTTTAGCGAGATTCGCTAAAGTCCTTGGTCTTTCAAGCATGCAATGTATCGCCAAGCAGAGTGCCGACACATTACGGCCCTTCACTTCATTCTGGAAAGTGAGGTCCACTATGTTAGGCAGAGGCAGGCGTTTATTGTTGTCTACGTCCGAGTCTTTGCATGCATTTGTGATAGAATAACATGTGCGGAGAAGGAAGAAGGCTACTTCCTTCCATGATAATCTCAGAAAGCCTTGGTTTGCTTTAAGGATTCTTTTCATGTGGATCCGTTGTGGAACAGGAGGTTATCTCTATAAGTGGATGTTCAGAGCAGACAACTCAGTGGAAAAACGCGCGGAGGCCCCTGTCCAAACAATAAGCATTATGGATTTGTGCGATTAGATCAAAACGCACCACTGTGAGTTATTCCTTATCTCTCGGATAAAGACTCCACAAATCAGCTTTGCAGACATTCTATTTTATAGTTAACTTTATTTTTTCGTTGTTTTTCCGTTTACCCATGGAGAGAAGGTTCAACGTACCATCGACCCTAGATTCAGAAAGGATTGTAGCGTTGACAAACTTGAAGTTGATAAACTTGTCAAATCTAAAAACCACCATGCCCGAGCTGCCACGTCTCCGGCTGCACCTGAATCTAGGAGTCGATGATGAATAGACAATTTATCTCTCCAAACCTTGATTGGGGCCTTTTCTTCACTGCAATATAAAAGATAATGAATACTTTTGGTGGCGAACAGGTAATCTTATATAATTGGCTCCATACGCTTCTTCCGATTTTTTCGCTTATGGTGAAAACAGTATCACTTTAGTTCTCTCAACCGATTATGATTTTTAGCGTTGGGAGCTAGATATATTGCATGATTTCATGATTTTCACTAGACTCGGCGCATTTTAGAGGGTGTTCTTTGTACCAGCTTTAAGTGCATTCCATACTTCAGGGCAAGCGTCATTCCACTCGGTCGGTTACTTCTATGAACCTTTGACCTCGGCAAAAATTTGCACACAAAAAGGGAGATAGTTTCATTTTAGGCACGTGAGCAGCTTCCAAGTAGATTCCGAACTCTTAGCTTCGAAATGTTCATGCCGCAGTCTGCATCCCTGCATGCTCCAGAAGTCCGTAGAAGGTTGGATGGGCCAGCCAGAGACGTGATCAGAAGAGTGCGCTCATTTTTTGTGGAGTTGAAATGTCAGTTGGGAGAAGAGTCGGTCGGAACCATCTTCAATTCTCCGGCCCGCCTGACTGCCCTGGCCTGCGGAGTATCGGTTCCGACGGTTTGGAACATCACCCGCCAGGACAGCGACCCCGAACGTCCACGTAGGCGCAGCAAGAAAGATCTAATCAGGGACATCATGGACAAGCATGCAGAAAACTGGGGCGAAGTTGTGCGCCATGCCGTGCACAACAAACTGCGGCAGGAGACGGACGTGACCGTCGAAGAGGTCAGGAACGAACTTCAGGAAGCCTACCCCACTTTTAGAATGTCGCACGGAGTATTCTACTACTTCTTGCGGGGGTTGGGCTTTTCATATAAAATCAACAAAAATCAGCCCTTTATATTTGAGCGCCCGGATCTCGTCCACAAGAGGGCTGTATACCTTTCGGCCATAGAGTCAGCCAGAAACCGAGGGAGCTGTCTCGTTTTTATGGACGAGACGTGGATTTTTGCCTCTATGACAAAAGTGAGGGGATGGAATGATAACAATATCCCCCGGTTCGCTCCTGCCTCAGTTTTTCGCGAATATTCCTACGGGAAAACTGCTGCAAAAAACAAAGGGCGTCGAGCAATCGTCGTCGGTGCAATCACCGAAGAAGGCGTAGTCCCCGGGTGCACCGAGGTAATCATTAGTGGCGTAAGGGATGGTGCAGAGGACTACCACCGCGATATGAATCATGTGGTGTTCGAGAACTGGTTGCGAGCAGCCATCCCTCGCATGCAAGCTGTTGCGGCTGGTCGCCCTCTTGCATTGGTCTTCGACAATGCACCTTATCACAGCCGACAGCTCGAAAAGGTGCTACATACGAATACTTCAAACTTTTGAAAATAGGTTCGTTCAGATCCCCACCCGGTCGTCGCGAAAAGCCGACATTGAGAGCTACCTCAGGAAAGAAGGCGTGATGGTCGCTAGCAATAGCTCGAGAAATGAACTTTTGGAAGAGGTACCTAGTAAATTGCTCAAACCCTGAATCTCACAAAACTTTATTACTACAGCTCCGCACGTTCGTAGCCAGTCGCGGCGGCATGAGTGCTTTACGCACTTATGTCGTTGATAGCATCTGTAGCGAGCAGGGGGTTGCAGTGATAAGGTTGCCCCCCTTTCACTGCTTTTTTAATCCAATTGAATCGTGTTGGAGCCAATTGAAAGCACACCTGCGGAAGGTCGGTAAGCCCGGGGACACTCTAGAACTGGTGAGAATCCCATAAACTATCTGTCTTTTGATTAAGAACAAGAGTGTTAAGGTCAGAACGAGAGCAATGGAGTGGATGAACGCCTTGCCCCTAGCATTATGCACCGGCTGGTTTAGGCATGTTGCTGGCGAACAAAACGCCGCGAGGTCAAAAATCGCCGAGGATCTCGCTAACTCAAACACTAACAGAAGCAATCCTCCTCCAGATCCACTGGATCTGGAGGGTTGGTCTTCTGATGATGAGGAAGGTGAAAGCTCATCCGACATAAGCGACCTGGAGGATCATTTCAGAAGAGTCAGATGACATATCACCGCAGAATTCTCAATCATAGTCTATCAGTGGTTAGATATTCTTTGTAGATTAGAACGTAGAGGGCATTTTCTTTCAAGGATTTTCGATCTCAGTGCAGAATGGGTTCTTGCTTCCATTCAAGGTCTTTCACATTGTCATTGAAATGTTCTTTCGCTTATAATACAACAACTGTTTTGTGAGAACTGGACTATGGACAGCGATTTGTGTCAAGTACGTATCGTCTGCGCCCCGGAGAGGTTCCCATAGGTACCACGTCATCTCGCTGCTTTCCGCACTTTTGAACGTGTTAAACTCGGGCACTTCCGTTGAAACCTCAACAGAAACGTGTCAAAAAGAGCGAAAGGCAGCGCCGCGTCACTTACGCACGCTGGTTCACATGGGAACCTCTCTGGAGCGCAGACGATACTTCCTTTTGCAGAAAGTATGCATCACCAACGCAAGTAAGTTGCCTGCTGTAACCCATTCGGCAAAACCTTTGAATTCATAGCCATATGCGCTCGAAAGGGCAATAAGTGCGGAGATGAAAAAGAGAATATGCTTGACGCATACTGTATAGTCGAAAATAATTTTTCAATTCCAAGCTGCTTCAAAATCACCCAACTGAACATAAATCTATAAAAGTAAAATGTGTACCAAAAACTTCAAATTTACAAGAAATTTAGAGGAAAGGCTTTATGTTCTGGAAACTCTAACTTCTTCATTTGAGCGTTTTATCTAATATGCTAAGAACAGAGACCGGACAGCAGTACACGCGTGCGCCTGCGTTTGCCTGACATGAAGCACTTCACTTTCCAGAATAAAGTGAAGGAGCAACATGTACTGGCACCCAACTCGGCGATGTTGCATGCATGACAGATACGGAATCTATCGATTACCGTTGTAGTACACGGGATTTAGAAGTAAAAGAAACATCAGTGCTACAAAACATGCAACGAGAAGCATACCGTTTAGGCAAAAATAAAGTAAACATCGATAAAAACCTTGGCAACAAGAAAAAGTAAATTTTGTCTAAATACTCACCCAAAAGCGTAGCTGAAGTTCCTTCAAATGGCCTTTTATCTAAACAAGTAAACAAAACATAATAACAGGTAAGTTGCTTCTTAAATCCATCAAGTTTGCACGAGACTTCAAAGAAAACTTTCAAAAAAAGAAGAAAGAGAGATCCTCTACTCAATTGGTAAAGAGCGAAATGAAGTGGCTACAAGAAAAATGCGCCATTTTTCGAGGTTATGTATTCCAGATACTTAGAAAACAAAGAGGAATCTAATGAAAATGAGAAAAAGAAATCAAATTATAGCAATTCAACATAAATTGAAAAAAAAGGAGTTGTTTGGAGTCAAGGTGAATCGAAACTATTGAAAGGCGCGTTCCATTTGCATAATATTGAGCTGACTGGTCGAGAACAGAAGAAAAAGTGTGAGAAAACTTATTGTAACCATTTCAATCGAATGTCTGATCTCTACAAACGCTCGAAAAACTATTTTCTTCTAGAAAATACGCTTAAGTGCATAGGATCAAGTGAAACTAATAAGGTAGAAACTATTCAAGCTTACCTGGGTTCGAATTGTAGAAAAATACACAGAAAACAGTGCGGAAACGGCCGACTGGAAGCTCTCGCTCTAAGGCCAATTCTGCCGTAAATTAAAGGGCGCGGTGTGCAATGCACATATTAAGTTAGAAATGACTCGACGGTAGCTCAAAGAACGTGAGATTGAAAGTTTTTCTTGCAATCACATCTACAAACTTCAGAAGAGGAAATTTTGGCGTAGAAAACCAAGTAAACGTAGTAAATGGAAAATAAGACTGGTGACAAACCTACCTGGATGCTCATGTGGTTCTCTCCTTCTAACTTTCCTAAACCCAAAAACTTCGTGATTTTTGTTCCTTCTTTGCAGCAAAAATATATATGCCATTTTTTGTCGGGCACTGGATCATCATTTTTTTCCTTCTAACTATTTCGGCCCTCCCCAAGGAAGCGCTGTGACGCTGCGGTAGATCTCTGCTCAGTTACTAAGAAAGTATGATTATGTGACTCAAGATGGTTGAAAATGACGGAAAAGATCAAAGTGGAAGAGAAGAAACACATGTAGCCTGTTAAAACAAAGCACTACTGATTAAGTTCAAGCCCGAAAACTAAAGTGTATCATAAAATACAGGAGATCATGTGGGAACTTATAGACTCAAGACCAAGGTTACTCTTCAAAGCAGATCGTTCTAATTAAAAAGATATTGCTGAACCTTGACATCCCATCGTGAGCTTGTTCTTAAGATTGTGTCATGGCAGTTACACCAATGTTGTGTTTTGAGAAGTTTACTCGGGTTAATAAACACGTCAAAAATTCTTCACATTCGTAAGCCAGGTTGGTGGTCGACCTATACAACGCATCTATACAACCTAGACATTTCTGTCAACAATTTTAAAGGATGTCTCTTGTTGTTCTGCCCCATTTCTTCACCTTTAACATCGGTTTTCCTTTCTAAGTACTTCCTGTTAGTCCAAGATTCAGATTTCACAATTTGAACACTAAAGGCCCAGATTTTACGTGGGGGCGCAACCTTTGTCACAATTTTTATATCTGCAGCCTTAGTAGGTTCTAAAATCGAAATTACAGTCTGCCCCAATCCTAATCAGTCCAAAATTGGCATGGTGGGAGCCCGCGTCGCTAGGGTTTCGCGGTCACACCCACGGTCTGCCTGTTTGCTCGCTCTTCGATCTCCTCGCTCTCCAACAACGCGCATATGCAGCGCAAACGCCTAGCGCTGCAGCGCAAATTTACTCCGACAGTGCAGCCTGATCCCGATTGGGGTAGACTGTACATCTGGGGAAAAGCAACAAAACTTGAAGGAATGACTGAACTTGCGTTGAAGGCTTCAAAACCTTGAGTTTATTAACGATTGCTCTTTCGAAGCTTTGAAGTATCAAGCAATATTCACATGCAGCGTCATCGAACAGATGAAAATTAACGGTGACCAGACTACAAAAGAAAAAAGGGAAAGATGCTATCTGAAAGATGCTCAATGAGCATTGCTTAAGCAACAGTCTGCCAGACACTATCGTCTGCATGCGGCAGGGTCATAGTTGGAGAAAACAGTGTTTGCTCACGTTATTTTTTCGTGTTCTTGTCTTATCTAAGATTTGGGTTTCTCGCAATAATTGTGAAAGTAGAGAGACTGCATCTTATCTCACCCCTGTCTTTTCTATTCTGCAACTCCCTCCGCCTCCCCTTCAGTGACGGTCTCGGGATTTCCGTCCGAAGGGGGGGGGGCAAAATGTTGTTTGCAAATGAAGTTATATTGACTTTAGACACGCACTCCGTTTTTTTGGGGTATTTCTCATAATTTTTGGGGGCCCATAACCCCTAAGAAGCCTCCCTTCCCTTCTCTTGCGAAACGGGTCATGACTCAAGTCAGCGCGAAGCGATGGTAACAGAAAGGATATTTCATCGCTTTGTGCGAAATAGCCATGGGTGTGGTTTGTGGCGGTGGCCCTCGTTCTGCAACTTTTCATGAATAAACCTAACGGTAGACAAGACCTAGTCGCGTTAGCGATGAACCTTTTAATATGCTTGCGACATCGCTTCGGGTTTCGTCTCGCAGACTGTAAGTCGTGACCCGTTCCCTCAAATTGGGAGTAGGTAATGGTTTATAGAAAAAAGCGGACTTGAGCAGCGTGAATTTCCTTACGGGTAGTATGAAAACGTCGTGTTCACAAAAAATGGCGGTCACATGAAAAATGGCAAATTAACATCTCATAGTACGCAGCCCGTGTCCGTCGAACTTCTTGTAGCAAAAGAAATGAACATTCTCGAAACTCGAAAAAGTAATTATGCTGAAAAGTAAAAAAGCATGATCTTTGAAAGCGCAGCAAATAATTTCTTGTAATAGCTTGAAAATGCAAAAATATGAATTTATATGAAAAAAAACAAGACAGCAAAAGAAGGGGCAGAGAACGAATTTTGATGTGAACACTAGAAAAACATACGATTGCGAAACATGAGAAAGATGCTGGAAACACGCAACGAAGTCGCTTGAATGAAAGAAACAAAAAATTGTTCTGAGGAAAGTAATAATATACACGCAAAACTAACGGGCGAGCATATAAGAAGTGAGTGAATGCCAGAAGCAACTCATATCGCCTTACGCGATTATGATTTTGACCTGACCCACCCTCCAATACTAACTAGGGTGCGACATCGCGTGCACCTTAGTGCATAGGCTTTGGCCATACTTTACCCGTATTACTCGTGTTACCGGTGTTATTAGTGTTACTTGTGTTACTCGTGTTACTCGTGTTACTTGTGTTACTCGTGTTACTCGTACTCGTGTTACTCGTGTTACACGTGTTACCATTGTTACCCGTGTTACTCATGTTGCCCGTTTTACTCACCGTCATATTGCGTTTTAAAGTGAGACTGTGTTCAGGGTCCGGCATAGATGGTCTGGAAGTAGGCTGGACTTCGTTTTGGGACAAAAAGCAAAGGGGATATCGTTTTTGCGGGTTTCGGGGCGGAGTCCTGAAAAAAATGTGTACATGCATTACTAGCGAAGCATGTGGAGAAAAACTGCATATACAGTTTGCAAAATAATCATCACACATCCTGTAGCGCCAAAGGCCACCACTCATCAAGCACAACTTTTCAAGACAGGTTATTACACGATAGACGTGCTCCATCGTGTCTTGCGAAAAGCGCGCTCGATTTGAAAGCAAAGCCAAAATCGAGAAATTGCTTGTTTACAGCGTAGAGGCAAGCAAATAACACCAAATTTGGACTGTAGGCATAGAATATTATTTGCGGAACAATTATGTAAAAAATCTGAAAACTTTTGTGAAGCAGTCCTTTTCAAAAATTAGTCCGTTTCCAGACGGCCACCAGACGATCTGAGATCGTTTGGAGCATATATTTTTTGTTTCGGATTTTTCTACCATGACGGATTTCCCGTCAAGAATCCATCCCGAAGCACGGAAACATTTTCGTCATTGTCTTTCCCTT